GAGTCTGGATCAGTTAGCGACTGGAGAGAGGACCTCGAGTCGCTGAGCACGGCGGCCTCCTTCCATCCCTTCCCTAACACACATTCCGTGGCTTGAAGGATAGCATACAGCTCGGCTTGGAAGACCGTACAGTATGGCTCCAGCTTAAACTTTCGGGAAAGGACTTCTGCCTGCCCTTTCCAAGAGGTCAGGTCGGCTCCCACCTTTCCCTCCAGTTTGCTGCCATCTGTATAGATCTTCACAAGACCTTCTGCCAGTTTGCTATCCTCCTCCTCGTTTTCCAAACATTCGAATCCTATCATTCTGCTGCTACCGGGGTGGTCCGATTCCATGAAGGACACCCTTTTCTCCACCTTTCTCCCCCTTAATATTTCCTGGGGTTTTCCTCGCTTCGCGTCATAAAGCTGGGATGCTTCTTGGACCCTAAGGTCCAGCGGAAGCAGCCCCGACAATATTAAGGCGGAGTTAAGAGACACCGTCTTATAGCACTTGGCTATTTTCTGCGCGAACCCCCTTTGTACAACTGAGAATTTATTCTTGGTCATAATTTTGTCAGCTTCCTTTCGCCAGACACTCGCTGCGTATAATGTAATCGGCTCTATTACTGCCAGATAAATGGTTCTTATGATCTCTGGTTGGAGACCCCAAGTCGTTTTTGCGGCTCTTTGTATTCCTTTGAATATGTTGATGGCTTTGCCGCAGACGTATTTTATGTGCTCATCAAAGGTTAGTTTATTGTCTATTATAAGGTCGAGAATTTTAATTTTGTTAACCATTTCTATTTGGATCCCCCCCATGGTCAGTACCAGCGCGTCGAATTTTAGCTTTTTGGTGATTAGTAAAGTTTAGTTTGTTCGACGCGCCCCATCTCCTGACCAGGGAGAGTCCTTCATTGGCCTTTTCTTCTACTGACTTTGTGTCTCCTCCATCTACTACTAATACGATGTCGTCAGCGAATGCCTGGCAGTAAATGTTGGCGTCGGCGAGCCCGTTCAGGAGAGGGTCCAGCAATATGTTCCAAAATAAGGGGCCTCCAATGGACCCCTGTACGCAACCCTTGTTGGTTGGTTTGCTGAACTCCTCTCCCGCGTATCTCACCGTCACCATTCTGTTTTCAAGGTAGCTGGATACTAATTTTCTAAGATTAATAGGGCATTTCAATTTTTTTAGTTGGCAGCGGATTCGTGGCCACCATGCGTTGTCGAAGGCCCCCTCTATGTCCAGCGAAATCAGGGCTACGATTTTCTTTTCCACCAATTTGCTCCTGATTCGCCGAATCATGTCGTAGAGGGAGTCTTCCGTACTGCGTTGCAGCACAAACCCGTATTGCCTTGAGTTAATTTTTGGCAGTATGTGCCACTTTAAACGACGCACTAACATTTTCTCTAAAATTTTCCCTAGAACTGGTAGCAACCCGATTGGCCTATACGACTTAGGCTCCTGGTAGTTATCTTTGCTAGGTTTTCTTAGCATAATGACCGTTGCTTTTTTCTATTCCTGTGGGAAATGGGCCAGGGCAAGGCATTTATTGAAAATCGCGAGAGCTATGTCACTGTCCGCTTTAACAGTCACTGCGCATATGTCCGTTGTGAACCCGTCTCCACCCGGAGCCTTTTTCGGATTGAACGAGTCCACGGCGTGCACCAGCTCGGCTTCCATAAATGGAGGGTCGTGAACGTCATGTTCATTACCCTCATTTGCTTCCGCCGCACTGATTCGCACGGCCTTGTGGATCTCGTCCTCCCCTACTTCTGTATCATCCGGGTAGAAGGTCTCCGCCATTACGCGCACCGACTGTTTGGGGCTGGTGGTGGTTGGCGTCGGTGGTCCGTTGCGGTGACACTTAAAAGCGATAGCAGTTATTAACAACGAATATCAATATTATTATCTTTTATTATGTTTTTTAGTTTTAGGTTAGTTGTTTTACTTTGTAAAACTTGAGTGTCTGTTTCATATTTTAAACTAATTTTCTGTATTATGGAGCATACCATATATTGTGTCAAATAAATTAGAACAATCATGCCTAGAGCAAAGTTATTTTATTATCTTAATGAACCAAATATGATGTAAGTGATACTGCTTTGTTACAATAATCGCTTTTATAATTAATGTCTTTTTCAATACTTTGTTCATTCAAAGATCGAACTTCTTTAATTACTTCGAAGACATCCAATTCAAAGTCTCGTATCAGATATAAGCGGCGGCAATTTATATACTTATTAGAGAAGTAGGTAATTCCATCGAAGATCGATCGACTCCAAAAGAAGTGGAACTTCGGTTATATTGGTTCACATAATTAATGGGAAACAAGTTGAAACTTGCTACAAACTGCTGATAGTTATCAGCTTGACCATTGGTCATTAGGTGGAATATTCAATGTACTAATCGATTAAGGTAGTTTGATTTGAAAAAATAAACAAAAGTTTGTACGTACTACTTGAGGTGGTTGTGGCATTTTTCATTCCATCTTCAGTAACACGGAAAGCTATAAAAGAAATCTAGTAATATTTTTCTTTTAATTTCAAAAACTTTCTTGATGGTTCATAGCTGCGAAATTAATGGGATAATTTAGAAAAGAGAAAAAATGTTTTTCACTGAATAATGAAAAAAAAAATGTATTCTTAACTCTTTGTTGGTTAAGCTGTTTTATTGATAAAGATTAGCAAATGAAAATTAATATTTAAATGATCTTCTCAAGATAAAAAATAAATGTTTCTATTTATATGCTATTGACGTTTTTAGAATAAATTAATAAAAAAAATTAACGGTGAGACAATTATTGAATGCTGCTAAGATAAATTAAAAATTATATTAGAAATAATTCAAAAGGGATGTTTCTGCACCTGGTAAAATCTCCGTTCTTTGTTATCGTGCAGCAAAAGACTTTTTTATGGTAGCTGGTGATTTCACATAGCAACATTATATAATTAGTGAATGAATTAAAGGACTCTCTAGAATTTACAAAATAATAACGTTATCTGACTCATACATTGCATTTATTTATTTATATTAGAAAAAGAAATTTTATTTGTACAACATTTGTAAGAAAGATGTTCAGTGATAATTATATGAGTACGTAACAACAGTAGGTAAAGATATAAGATGTGTAGAAAAGAAATATCATTTAATAACTAGAAAAATCATCAACTGTTTTAAACTAGTATTTTTGAGTAGCTCTGGCAATATATTTTCGAAATCTAAATTTTGCTTCATAATACTTTTACAGCAGGTCCAATTAAGACTCCGTGTCAACAAATTAATCCTCCCTCAGACAATATAAGCTATCAAAGTTAGAAATCTCTACAGAGGAGTGCTTAAATCAATTTTGCAGACAATACAGGATAACGACATTTAGCTCTCGCAAATGAAACTGCCATCCAACAAAGCAAAGTGACCGCAAACAAAACCATTTTAGCTTATCCGAAACTAGTTGATCCATTTATCAGTATATTGTAGCGTGAAAATGATTCGCCGATGTCGCCAGAGGAACGACATGGTATGACAATCCGCTAATCCCTGGGGTTATACATAATTCCGACGCAAAACATTTGGCGCCCCGCCGGATTAAAGTCAGTTTCACAAGAAGATTTCAAACTTAAATTTACTAATATGTTTTTGCATGATCACGATACTTGAGTAGAGTAAAATGTAGGTACGATCCAGGCTGGAACACAATTTATCATAAGATCGCCTTTATTACTAAACAATAAAAGTAGATACTAGTGCAATGGGATTATTTTGTTATTTCATCATCAGCTTATTGATGTTTCCACAGTTAATGCACAGGTATTTTATTAACTTGACCCATAAAGGTAAAACTACCCACGGATATGACTCCCCATGCAACTCCAGTACGGATTAGTTAGATGGGTTTCAAAACAGTAGCAGGTGCTATCGGGACCAACAGCACAAACAGTTTTCGAAAACGTGGAGAAGTTTGGCACAGTATATAGAATTTTGATCACCCATTCGAAACAGGCTCTGAGAGATACCAATACGCCAAAGTAAGTATAAAATATTTTCAGCAGTTTTAAAATATATTTTTGGGGTTATTTGTGATGCGTCTCATTCCGATTTGGCCCGGAGCGATTGATAACTTCACACCAGTGGCTGCCGTTTGGCGCCGAATCCCGACTGACTTATCGGCAAGTTTAACGGCGATATATCAAAGTAATCGCTTTAATTTCTCATCTCCCACTTTGGAAGTGCTTATTTCTCGACTAATATCGCTGTGATTTGTGGTGCCTATATACAATAATTTGCTACGGGAATAGGTAATATGGGAAATGTAAAATGCTATTTTTTTAAAACTGCCGACAATATTCTAGGTGATTAGCCTTTCCACGCAGATATATATATATATTAAAAATTAGATTAGATTAAAAATGACCTGTTTCTGCTGTAGCAGCAGTCTTGCCTTCTGTAGCAAAAGGCTTTGAATCAACTTTTGATAAGATTTCTAATATTTAATTATGCGGCGCGTTCTATGAGTAGAATATTTAAGATTTTCTCGCGTATTATTGCAGTTAATTGCACCGCCGTCATTCCGGCTTCTTTCTTGTCCTCTCCATCCTAAGGTTGTCTGGAAGAGATCGCTCTTAGCGATAAGACCGCCCATTTTTACACTGTAAGCAGCGATTATGTATAACGTTTTATATTTTTTGTGGTGTAAAATAAAGAGCTATATTATTATTATTTACGCAAATCACAATATTAAAAAAATATTTTTCATTTCCTACATAAGTATTAATGGCATAAATGAGTTTAATACTAAGTGAATCGGTAAGTATTCTGACCTACCTATACTCTTGAAATTATTAACTTACCTCACATGCGATGAGGTAAACTTCATTATATGGTTGCTTTTCGTTCAATTGACTCTTGAAACAGAACTATATTCGCTTGGTTCGCCTTAAGTGATCACGGATCACGATCCTCAATCTGACAGTACATATTTCATTGGAAAAAGGGAACGTTTCTGATATATTAACTGTACTCACCTCCTCTGACCTCGCAGACCAGAACGAGTTCATTGCCCTCTTCCAGTGGTCCTACCACGCCGGACACATCCCGTCCTGACTTATCGTAGAGAATCAACTGATGAGGAGGCACTGTGAAAGAAGAAATCACACTTTTATTGTAAATCTAAGTTGTTCTGAGCACCCATATCGTAATACTAATCACTCAAAAATTATATCAATGTACACATACACACCACACACTACGGTGTGTACGGTGTTAGAGACGTTGTGTTTTTTTCTATTTCATAAAATCATCTTTTTTATATTTTTTTTGATGATTGGCAATCTTTAAGCTTAGCGACCGTATTAACTGCACTAGAGCGTCCCAAAATATATCTACTACATAGGTAAATAAGCTCGTCGCTACACACGCACACATTGACTGCTTTCAAACAATATGACAATATGTCGAGACCCTTGGTCCGTGGGGTTCTAGTCGACGTCACATGAGACCGAAGAGCTGGCTGCTACCTCGAACAAAGAATTAGTCTAACTATTCAAAGAGGGAACGCTGTCAGTATCTTCGGAACCATGCCTATAGGGACTCCTTTTAATAATATATTTTAGTTATTATATTATGATATTTTTTTACTTTTAGGTTTATGATATTTTTTTAGTTTTAGGTTAATTGTTTTATTATACTTTTTTATGTTTTATAGGTTTAGGTTAATTGTTTTACTTTATCATAATATTAGTTCAATCCTTTTAATAATTTAGTTTATTTAGAATACACTGCCAGGTCATATGACATTAAAGTCACGCACAAAATGCGCGTAAGATGAGCCGTTTTCTTTGCTTTGTTTATTTTGATTGCTCTATCTAGGCGTGCATATAATTATAGGGCAGATGTTACTTTCCCATACAGGCGCTTCGATTCAAGAACAACTTCTGCTACACCCACCAAAAAAAAAAATTTTTGAATAGGCTTGGAGGAACGGTTAGTAGATTTCTATTCAAAATTAAATCTTTGCAAAAACTGCTTTAATTTTACCCTTTATATTTTTTATTTGAGTGAGTTTGAGTATCTAATAATAGTAGATTCAATCATGTTATTGCTTGTGTCTCTTGAGATTTAGTCCATTAGAGGTCTTAATTTAAGTGCAGTAATTATATTAATATTACAGAATAAAATATAATTATTGAATAGGTTTCCATTTTTTTCTACAGATAAGAGTAGCAAAAGCTTAAATATAAGAGTGACGCAACATTTATACGTCGTTTGTTTCGTGAACAAGTTGAATTCCAGTTGTTTCGTTATGTCGTATCAGACTTTGATCATCCCTTACGAACCATAACTAACCCAACCAATGACAGCTAACTAACATTATCGTTAAACTTAGACATTTGTGAGTCGATGAGGACGAAATTTCTATGCCAACAAAGGCCGACGTCAAGTTTATTAATTTAATCTGTGGTCAAGGGATAAAGGCATGGTATTTCGGGATGAAGTTTTGGTAAAGTTGTAAGCCAGTGACATTTAACAAGGTATCTTATTTCAAACGAGCAGCGGGGACAGATTTGAATTTTGAATATTGATATGCTAATATTTTGATGACAGAACACAAAATGGATAAATCTATCAACGTGATACCGTCAATAAATGAATTAAATAAGGGGATTTCTGAAAAGTTAAAGACAAAACAGATTTTGATTAAGTCATACTTTAAGTTTGTATATGAATGAACTCTTTTGGTTTAGTTTAATGAGTTTAGGTTTACTCAAAGTATTGATTTGATATTATTTTCATCAAAGCGTTTAGTTGCAAGATTTTAACATTAAAGTATTTTCTACTAAACTATATAGGAATCATCCTATGCCAAGTTTAGTAGAAAAAGCTGACAACTTTTGCTATATAAACCACTAGTGGGTGTCTGCAACTTCGTCTACGTGGAAAAATGGGTTTCCCATACAAACTTACACCCCCCTTTTCACCCACTTAAAAGATGATTTCTGGGATTAAAACTACCCTATGCCGTTTCCCGGAACTCAAACTATCTCTATACTGAATTGTATTTAAATCTGTTCATTGGTTTAAGCGTGCTGAGGTATCAGATAGACAGAAACACACACACACACATTCGCATTTATAATATTAGTATGTCAGACAGTAACAGACGAGGGGAATTTATTCACTTAGACTGGAAATAAGGGTTACTTTTTCACACACAGCGTTTTTTTTGGTTTGATTGCAATATTCAATCATTTGTCAGTTAAGATGCTGAATAGAAAAAGCCGGCCAAGTGTGAGTCGGACTTTCGCATGAAGGAATTGTTAAAGTTGATGAAGCTTTTTTTTTGTTTGTTTTGGTCACAATTTACAAAGTACTTTATGAATCAGCCTTTTCAGTATTTGTTGTTTAAATACAGCATGTGAGATATCATATACCTAAATTTTACATGCCTAACTAGTTTAGATTTTGAGATAGACCCCGTAAAAAGTAATGATCTAAAAATGTCAACATCAACAGTCCCCCATTTCATTGTTTTTGAAAATAAAATATAATGTTTATATCCTACTTAACGATCATGGGATCCCGACGACTAATAATTAAATTGAAATTTTAACTAAGTATTCGCCTTCGGGCAAGCAGTTTACATAAAACACCAAAAGTTTAGTTCTGTAACTCATTCCGTTTACGATGTAGAGACCCTTGACATACGGACAGATAGACGGACAGACGACAGAGTGACAGCAATAAGGTTCCTTTTTTACCCTTTGGGTACGGAACCCTAAAAAGGTCGATTCCACAAATGTTAAACGAAAATACGTCGAAAAGCGTATCGCGTAAGTAGGACGCAACTATTTGGAGCGCATCTCATTTCAAGTCTCGCTTTACCCTTAGGCGAACATGCAATCAAAAGATAGTCGAAAAGACGGTACCATGTAAGTCGGTTCCTTCTTTAATATGCAACTACTCTGAGAATGGATAGTCATTATAGTTAAAGAATTAAAATTATGCAATTAAACAATTATAAAAGATATGAATTCAGATTCAGGCTTTGTAACGCACGTAGCGTTACGGCCTCTTTGCTTGTGTAGTGCCTACGGCTGGCAGTTATATTAAAAATAAACATAACTATTTAAATTTTAGAATGTGAGAATCTTTTGTCTCGTATTAATGTTTCCAGATTGAATTCAGGGTACAGACAATTTTATTTCTGAGTTGAAATAAACATAATTAAAAAGTCCAGTTGATATATAATTTCTAAGCATATCTCTCTTTCTCTGAGTTACGTACCCTTACTTCTCCCATCAGGAGAACCTCTTAGTAATGTGTCACAGAAGAGTATATTTTTATAATACAATGGTATGTTCTCCCTTTTCTGATTCCGTAATCACAAACCATGGTTTTATCTAAAGAGTTCTTCTAAGTAACCCACACAGGCTTTGCACGGATGAAATCTCGAATGTACTGGTGAAATTATGAAAGCTAAGTTACGTTAAGTTAGTTAAGAACATAAACATTACCCTATTGTTGGACAAAATTTCATTTCATATTAACACAACATAGGTTAAATTAAAAACAACTACCATAATTTTGAGAAACCGTTCTCAAGTGATGTTCCGTCATACTATTGTAGTTGGTAGTTGATTTATATATTTAAGAAATTCTTGTTCATCATGTATTCACATGAAAGACATGATTAGAGACAAAAAATAATAGGTAATAAAGACTTATGACCTTTTATCATATTGTTCTGTAAAACCAGACCTCACGCCACGTTTATCTGTTTAAAAAACTATTGAATCGATTTTCACAATCAGTAATAATATTTTTTCATGGAAGGTTTATATCTAACTAGCTGACCCAGCGAACTTCGTACCGCCCTAAAAAAATAGGGGTTGTCCAGCGAACAAAATTGTGAATCTAAACCATTCTCAGATCCCCTTGAACACACACAAAAAATTTCATCAAAATTGGTCCAGTCGTTTAAGAGAAGTTCAGTGACATACACACTCACAGAAGAATTATATATATAAAGATAAGAAACCTATCTGCGCCGCAACGAATAACACCGAGTCACTAGTTTACAATAAAAATATTTTGTAGTCTATTTATGTCAAATATTTATAGTTCTTACTCAATATTAATCAAATCTCTTGAGTCCAATCAGATAGACAACTTTAACTTTTTTCTCTGTGCTTATCTAACTAGCTACTTTATGACTAAGCTTCGATGATACGGGGCGAGTTTACAAGCTACAAGCCAGCGAGTTCGCTAGTAGCTTGTAAACTCGCCCCGTATCATCGAGTAGCAAATGGTAAAAAAGTCGATGACACGGGGCGAGTTAACAAGCTGCTAGCAAACTCGCTGGCTTGTAGCTTGTAAACTCGCCCTTAGTATACATGTAACTCAAATAAAAATATATTAATATTGCGATTCACTTCAAAACAAATTTGAGATTTTTCAAATAGGTCCTTTGGGTTTCATAAAGAAATAAGTAGTTTTAAGCAGCTATTCAAGAAGTCACAAAGAAAACTCGTACCTCCCTCGGTTTCCAATCAGTAAACACAGATCTCCAGCACTAAAAAGCAGTCTGGGAATGTCGACACATGTTGTTTTTCACGACTCGTAGGTAACAAGGGGAGAGAAATGCTGCGTAATGTATGAACGTTTCAACAACGAAAGTAGTAAACTAGAGTTTTTTGCTGTTGCAAAAGCACTAGTTTGCTCCGCGAAGAAGAATAGTTACGTTGCCAAAAATTAACTATCAGAAAGAGGAGGGGAGTTCAGTATAAGATTATAAAAGTTAAGGAACCAACGATAGTTGTCGAATTGATCGTATTAGATGCAAAAGATAACTGTGGGATAGCTGTGGTTAGAAGAGATAGAGAGAAGACTTTTAGTAAAACTTTATGACACGATATGTGTCTATCCAGTTATTATTCTTTATAAAATCTATCATACATAAAATAATTACGCAAGTATTTTTTTTATAATGTTTCTAAAAATAAATCACTAGCTTTTCCTTTTCAAGTTTCAGTGAAGTTGCTTATCGTAAACGAAAGTGGTCAAGATTTCCACAGAAAGCCACATTACCGAATGTATAAGGAATCACTGCGGACTAGGGAGTCGATGGCAAAATCTC